ATTTTTTGCCTTTTAACCCTTGCTTAAGGGTTAAAAGGCAAAAAATTCCTTATGCAAAGGAGGCCCGTAGTTCTCTCGCCTCTCCCTGCAGTTAGCACTAAGCAGACTCAGAGTCACTGTGACTCTGGAGTCTGGCAGCAACTACTTTAGCCTTTTTCCTTTTAATTATTCTTTTCTTTTCCTCATGACACTGGTGAGGCCCCGCCTCCCCTGACTGCACGTCCCTGGTGCCAAGGTACCACTGTATATTGAATTAAGTCATATCCTCGGTTTTTACAGTACCTCAAACCAGAAATCAACTAATTAGGCTAAGGGAAAGTTTGGAAAAAAGCCCTTCTCCAAGATTAAAAATAAGATTGCATATTGTATAGATGCAGCTATGTGATGTCTTACTAAATTTGGTGAAGTATGTTGTATGAAAACAGCCAATGTATGAAAATAGTTTTTCATTAGTTAGTTCAGAATCCAGGAACAGAAATGTGCTGCTCTAATAAAGGGGGCCCACCATTCAGCCATCAATTTTAATTCGAGTTCAAAAGAATCAAACTTCAGTCATTGAGTTAGGGAAACATTCTTTATTTTTATAATTATTAATATTACACTTTGAATATTTTTACATTTTTCTATTCTTTTCCCTAAAGTGTCTGATCTCTTTAAGAATTTTTTTTTAATCACAATGGCCAGTAGAAAAATAACCAAACTCTTAAAAACAAAGACGCTCTTTAGCACTTCCCACAAAGATCAGGAGAAAAGAGAACCGTGGAACAGTGCACAGAGTGGAGACACTTTACAGTATGGGGTGAGGAATCATTGGGTTTAAGAGCATATCACAAAGGGACTCACAGTTTACTATGTACAGAGCAATTAGTATCAATGGCTGTGCAAGTGCCCTGCTTTGAATCAAACAGTTGGGAATGCGAGGCGGAGTCATAAACCCTGTATAGAGGTTTGTAGTAAATTAATTTTCTTCAGTGTGCTTAATTTTAATTTATACTTAATTGGCCTGTGGTATGACACACCAAGTAGCAGAACCCCTTAGGGATTGTAATGGGACTGGGAAGTTGGAGCTGTTGATTCATCTTTCCAGGTTGGGAATAGGACCTAGGAATTTGAGGGAAATTATTGTTTTTCTGTGAAATTTGTACTCTAGCAAGCGATTCAGAAAATCAAGCATTTCTAAAAAAAGGGGGGGGGATGTGGGGGAAAAGTATTTTAAAAGAGAGTCCCTCTTGGCTGTTTCATCTCAGGGAAACATATCAATAGTATATATCCTGTTAAATCTAGCCTGCTTTACTTGTTATCCCAGTCTCCAATATAAACCCAGTTGACTAGCATTGCTTAGCAATCCACTGAAGGTGCAAGGTCATTCTCTTTACCTTCTTGGGATTGTACAAAGGTATGGGTTGTGACTTGTGATTGTGATCAAACTTTTTGGAAGCTGCCACACCCTGCCAATATGCTGGGTTTGGGTTGGTGGGTCAAAAGCCATGCATCCTTTTGTTATGCGATCACCTTGCTCCCTTAGCTCTCCCTTTGGAAGCATGGTCTCCACGCTCACTTTCCAACATGTCCCATCGTCTCTAGAGAAGTGACACACCTTCTCCATATTGTACCATGATAAAAAGTGCTTCTACACCCCCCACCCCCACCCCCACACACATAAAAGAGCCTAGCCTAGAGGCAAAAATATCTATGCCTAGTTGCCCCTCTTCTTCAAAGCTGCCAGTTTCTGGATTGAATATTGCAGCTTTCTACTCAGAAGAAAGTTGATGGTATATCTTAGATAATGGTCTTTTTTTCTTCACACGTTTTCATATCAGTCAAAGCAGATGATTCACAAAAGAATCCAGATGATTGTCTTTATAACTGACCTCTTTTTGTTCCTCCATTTCTTTTCCCTATAAATTCCACTGTATCATGAAAGAACTAGAACCATCTCCAGTGTACTAAATGCCACTTAGATTGATCGAGAGATGTTAATAATAAATTAATAAGAAACTGGCCTCCCCATCCTGCCTCAGCATCCTAATACTTTGTTATAGTTATTAAAACACTTCAAAAGAACTGTATTTGCTGCAGGAGAGAGAGGATGGGCATTTACTCAGACTTTAAGCAGCTGGTCATCTCCAGGTACATTGGTTATGCAGACTGAGAATCCAAAGGCAATCAGGTTAGGGAAGAATGTTGGGAATTGGCTTGGCTGATGGTGGAGTCCAGTGGTTATGGATTTGATTGCAGGGAACTTTCAGTGTTCAGACCCAGATTCTAGGCTCTTTCCTATAAGACTGGTATTGCCGTTTTACTGACAGCATCCAAAGAAGTTGCATCACTGTACCATCCAGGATGGAAGTTGGAGCCCCTTGGTCTTCTAGTAGCAGGGAAGGATGTGTAAAGAAAGAAGACTCTTGTGTTACTCTGCTTTTCCCTTCGCACTGCATCTTCAACAGAGAAAGGGTGAGGGTTCTGTAGCAAAACACCAAATAGACTGACAGTCCTTCAAAAGACGGAGGATCGATGAGAGTTCAGTTCAGATGATTTTCATTTGCTGTAATCGAGATCCTTGGGGAGAAGAAGTCACCTGATCCCTCACTACATGCACAGACATACACACAATCTATTATTAAGAAATGTCCTACTCTTGAAGCTATTTGTCAGGGATTAAAGAACAGAGAACTGAGCAACAGCTACTGTAATTTCCAAACTAGTAAATTGATGGTTTAAAAAATGGAGGCTTTTCCAGCCCAAGCCCTGATCTCTCTCTCTATGCAGTCGTGATTAGAAAAGTTTCCCTTTCTGTACCCTAAAAACATTTAGACATCTACAAATCTCGGAGGGTAGAATGGAGGGATTGCTGGCACATAACTGCATCCATCCTTAGCCCAGGGGTGGGGTGGGGTGGTAGAATAGATGTGTGCCAGTCATCCATGCCGATGTTGGTCTGGATAGTAGGCTTAGCTCTTAGATTTATAATCTACATTTCCATAGAGAAGCAAGCAGTCCAGCAACAAAGCCAACTCAATCACCCTACCTTGGGGGTTTCCTCCCTCACTTTTTACTTTTGATGGAATAAAAATAGTTTGTTGCGTATTTCAGTAGATAACATGCTTTCTTGGCACCCATCTGAAAATAAGCCGCCTCTTAAAAGAGCACCAGTTCACAAAGAGAACTGAACAAATATTCACGGCTTGGACAGACCTGAGAATACTTCATTTTTTTTTAAAAAAAAAGACATCTCCTTAGCTTATGGGAGATACTGTACTCATCCATCGTGCTCTTATATGAATCCCCACATGAACCTACATTATAAGCTGTCAGAAGGGATTAAATGCCTACCCTATTATCGCCCATCTCTTTAGCCCTACACTTGTTGCTGGCAATTCACACACATGTGTAATCCACATGCTCACACATATCATACATAGGCTAATGTGTGGGTTGCCCTAATGGAGGAAAGGAGAGCCATTCCCCCAACCGCAAAGAAGACCTGGGACACAAAGGTTGTTTTTCAAATGGAGACTTGGTGCAGTGCCCTTTAAGAGAGGCCCTGTCCCTCGTGGTCCATATCCAGAAGTGCTCAGGGTGATGGGAGGGCTGCCCTCATTCAGCAGGTATCCCTGGAGCCTCAAAAGGTATCAGAGCACAGTGTTCTCCATGCAGCTGCCACCCAGCGATGAGCGGAACGCTTGCAGCTGGGAGACCCCGTGAAGATGGACACAGGCAGCTGCAACCACCAAGACGTGGAAGATCTGGTGAGAATGGAACTATAGAAAGAAAGGAGAAGAAAGGCATTGGAACCCAACCTGCCTCGTACTGACCATCACCACATTATGAGATTTCGTTTTGTTCTTGACATTCACAAATTAAACAAAAAACAAAGCAGCTGGGGCTTCTGCAGGATTTGTGACATAATATCCCCAGCCGAGCCATGAATCATCCCTGGTTCTCTTCTGATCATGTAAATCTGTCATCTAAGTGTTTTGTAGCACTTACTATCTGTTTTTTATTAATTTTATACTGCTTGCATGCAAGCACACACTAAGTACATTAATAATGTGCATAATTTTCTATATATTTGACTTGGTTTTTTTTTAAATATTGCTTTTATGAATTGGACGCTGTCACATTTTCTGGGTAGCCTATCCTTAAGCTTCCTTATATTTTCTCTCCTTAAAAAAAACAACAACAACGGGAGGAGGCAAAAATGTCACTCTGCCTGTTCTGGGAATCTTGCCATGTCACTATTTCTCTTGTTTGAAAAAAGGTGGTCTACCTTGTCTGATTTGGTATGGGCCCTCACAGTTTGCCAAGGCAAAGTACTTATCTTAACCTGCCTCCTGATATTTTGGATGTGACAAAATGAAATGTCAAATTTATCCCAGAATGAAGCTTTTACCAAGAGAAAAGATAATGTGGAACTCAAATGAAGACTCTCAGTTTAAATACTTCCATCCCTCTTCCGTATTTTCTTGCCATAGACATACCCAGATGTCACACTTGCCCGGGAAGAAACGTTCAGGAATGCGGGCAGCATACAAGCCCACTCCCAAGATGTAGAGGACTGCCATGAGGAAGAGCCAACCAATCTGTCCCACTGTCGTGGCCTTGATAAAACCTTCAGTGATCATGAAATGGAGGGTGGGCACTAGTCCACTCAGCCCTAGGCCCAGAAATACACCTATCCCAAAAAGAAAGAGAGAATGTAACTTGGATGGATGGTTCCGGGGCTTTAACATCAATCCAACTAATGAAATCTTAACCCCCAAAAGTGTAGTGTTAATATTGCTAATGAAGGAGCAGCTGATGGAAAGTTAGACAACGAAAGCACACACATATTTTCATATTGAACTGATGTTGTTGGCACTGGCTATCATAGTATGCTAGTTTACTGTTTTGTTCCTGCATCTTTTATAGTAACACAGTATGCCAGCTGTTCCCAACCTGGTTCCTTCCAGATGTGTTGGGATTACAACTCTTTTTTCCTGTTGGACTTTCCTCACATTTGGACAATGTTAGGTTTAGAAAGGCTGCATTGTGCCAGGCAAGTTCCTCTATATTATATAATTACTTCGGTTTGCATTGGTCAGGTCATGAGTGTTTTTTGTGTACCAAAATTGACACAATTGAAAAATACAAGAAAGGTCTTGGAATCCTGGCACCCCTGAGATTTCCAGAAGCATATAAATAGAGGACTCCAAAAACTAGTGAGAACTGTGTGGACAAAAATATAAACGGTTGTGGGAAGAGAGGAGTAGAAAGACCAGGGAAAGGAAAACACAACCAAAAGACTGGAAAACAACTAACAGGATTCCCCATCTTTAATAGATTTCTCCACATAATGTAGCAATGTGAGGATGCAGTCAAATCATGAATAGTTACCTGCCCGCACTGCCCGATATTGTGGCGTGGCAAAGTGATCCCACTGCGACACCATGATGGCAGTTATACCCAGCACACAGACGATGATGAGGTAGATGAGCTGGGGTTGTGGTGAGCAGTAGAATGAGTAATACAGCCAGGGAACAAAACTGCCCATGGTGAGCAGTGCAATTCCAGAGTAATCCAATCTGTACAGAAGGTACCACAGAAAGCAAGGTTGGGTGATCAGTGGAACATCATGCATTGGGCAGGGCTTGGTGTATAAAGTTTAAATTACAGGAACCTTTAAACTATTTTAGTAAAGTGTAGTTCTCTATAGCCACAGTGTGGGCAAGATATTATGAAGAACCTCTTAACTTTCATTATACTGCCAAGATGATCCATGTTATGGGAAGCATATATGCAGGCATAGATAGCAAGGATTGTACCTACATGCCAGTTTCTACAAGAACCACATTTTTTGTCACATTATGATGGCTTGACTGTAAGGAGAACAATGAAACCCGCTTATGAACTAGTAATTGATATTGTCACCTCCTAAAATGGATGCATTCTCCATAGGCACCCCACTATAATCCCTGCCCACAGATTTTACAGGCTTCTGTAGCAATAACCAGAGACAAGATATAGCCAAGGCTCTTTCTCAGGCCTATACTTCTTGTGGTCCACTAGGTCAGCCTTCAAATTCTCCCCAGCACAACCTTTGACTTGGCTGCCTGGGAATTGTCATCTCAACAGAATCAGGACGTGCTTGGGGGGTGAAAAGATGCACTAGACTAAATGTAGCTCATCCGTTATTGGCTCGAAGTCTTGAGGAAAAGGGCTGTCTATTGGCTTCCCTGTGACAGCAAGAGCACAAGGAAAGCCCCTTCTGAACTCCCCCAAATATCTCTTGTGTAACACCTCCCCCAAATACTTCTTTTGTAACACTTATGTATGGTATATTTACCATAAATATACTTTGTGACTTACTGTCCTTGGGAAACCATTTATAGCATTGTTTCTCAACCACAGCAGAGTTAAGGTATGTAGGAGAATTTTGGAAGTGGAAGTCCATCCATTTTAACATTGAGGAGGTTGAGAAACATTGATTTATAGTGCTCTAAAGAATACCACTTCGTAGGCATTGTTACAAAAATGAATCTAATGACTCCAAGATGCAACTTTAATTGTAGCACAGCATTTTTATTAAGTTTCAAATGGTGAAGCATCAGCTGTGAGGTCCTATCAGGACCCTGGGTCGTTCCCAGATGCTGCATGGTGCTACAGGCAAGCCCAGACAGTGGCATACCAGAGTCTTGATCCACCTCCATCGCTGTTTGTGTAGCACAGCACAGAAGAAACAAGTGGGGAGATGGGCAAACTCCGGACAGATTCCAATAGCTGATTGGTCATCTACTTTGGCTTGATGGGGATTTTCTTTTACAATAAGAAAAGGCTATCCAGTTATCAGCCAAAGAAGAAATTTACCTCGGATACTCTAAGCATGTCCTCACATTTCATTATGAGAGAATACATCTTGATTCTTAATTCTTGCCTGTTGGTCACCTGCCTCAGTAGTTTGTGGGAGGATGGAGAGAGGAGGGGAAATCAACTTACTTGGAGAAGGTGCGAGAAACTTTCTCAGAGTGGCAATAGACTGTGTGAAATAGCCAGGAGAAACAGAGACAGAGAATGGCTCCGAGGAAAAACATGCCAAAAACCACACGCTCCTGGATGGGGGCCACATATTTCATGTTGGGACTGAACATGTATCCAATGCCCAAAACCAGGAAGAAGAGGAATCCTGAAGAGAGGGGAGAAAGTTACCAATATATACATGTTTCTGCATGTATTCAAATACTGGGGCACATTTGGAAACAGGAAACATACATCTGGTTTGGCAGGGACTAACTAGGAATCTACCCCTGAAGACTCCATTTCAGGAACTTCACAGGCCTTTCTCAAGTTGGGAGAATCAATGTGTGAAATGGGAGACTGAAGAAGTACAAATGGCTTCTGGTGTGAGTCATGGTTGACTGAAAATGTCTCTGCAAATGAGTGGACACAATCGCTATGAAGACAAAAGACCAGCGGGCAGATTGATTGAATATCTCCAGAGAAGGGGAAATTGGACATTGCCTATGAATGCTCTGTACAGCAACTCCTCATGAGAAACAAGAAAAGCAGACTGGTTTGAATGCCAGGAGTCAAGCAAGATAACATCTTTGTTCTTAGCAGCAGTGAAGCCTTTTGTAAGTTCACAAAGGAAATGTTCAATTTAATTACTTTAATTACATTTTGACATTCAAAATGGCAAGCTTAATTTGACATCTGATGAGTTTTACTTTCTTCTTTGGATTTAACAAACTTTAAGTGAGAAACTTAAAAATCTAAAATAAATTTGAAAACTACAGCAGTGGTGCCTGGCATTTACAAAGTAGATTGGTGAAAGCTTTGCAGACTTTTAAATGCCAAAGAGTGATGAAAGATTGAATCCTGTGATTTTGCACAGAAATGATTTAAAGATCAAGATTGTATATAATGAAAAGAATGTAAAGTTGGATTATTTGATCACGGATAAACTATTTCTTTGATATTTCTAGAAACTCACAGTGGACTTTTTGCTGAACTAGATTTGAAAAGATAATTACTGGATTGTGCATAGATAAAAGGCTATGGGGAAGAAGAGGTGCAGATTTTTTTGTAACTTTAAAAGAGGATTAAAAGTTATTATATTTGCTTATGCTTGGTATAATGAAGCTTGGAAGCCACTAATTAATTGTTTTTCTTTTCTTTTTTGAAACTTCTGAACTTTTTTTTCTCTTTTAGTTTAGCTTTTATTAGTTTTTACTATGTTTATTAAAAACTTCAATAACATTATTAGAGACAGAGCAAGCATTTTTCAGCTAGCCAGGAGAGGGGAAGGCCAAAAACCTGACCCAAGCTGGCCTAGCCTGCTGCCTTAAAATTCAAGAAGCAGCCAGTGAGTTAGTCTTACATTTATCATGTCACCAGTAAAACCGAAGTGAGTACACCCCCTCACATTTTGTAAATATTTAAGTATATCTTTTCATGTGACAACATTAAAGAAATGACACTTGGTTACAATATGTAGTGAGTATACAGCTTGTAGAACAGTGTATTCCACTTATATTGTGGAAACCAGAGAGTTTGATTCAGAGGAGTGCAATTTATTTCCCACCCTCTTTGTTCCCCCCTCAGACTATAGAGCTACACAGTCTTCTGCCCCGTGACTGACCAAGCAGATGAGTCCAGATGTTGCCAGTTTCGGTGTGGAGCCGGAAGATGCTGCGGAAACAGGCGCGGAAGGAAGGCATGGGTGGGCGATGTCCGTGTAGGAGAAAATCGTTGTCTTTCAGCCAGTCAGGTAGCACATCATAGGGCATCACACGCCAACGGCCCTCCCAAACCTGCAACAGCAGAAGAGAGGCGAGAAAAGTCATAGAAAGAGCTTGCCTATCCTTCCTTCTGCGAGCTGAGAACATCAAAACAATGAGTGCATTTGTATACTTGAGGATATGATATGCCGAGGTGGCGCAGTGGTTAAATGCAGCACTGCAGGCTACTTCAGCTGACTGCAGTTCTGTAGTTCAGCTGTTCAAATCTCACCAGCTCAAGGTTGACTCAGGCTTCCATCCTTCCAAGGTGGGTAAAATGAGGACCCGGATTGTTGCGGACAATATGCTGACTCTGTAAACCGCTTAGAGAGGGCTGAAAGCCCTGTGAAGCGGTATATAAGTCTAACTGCTATTGCTATTGCTATGCTTCTTGGAAGGGGAGGGGGAAACCAACTTGGGGGAGAAGAATTTCTAGTGTTTTCACAAAGATTTTTTCTAGTGTTCACATCACTGAGTTTCAAAGTAGGGTTCGGGGTTTTTTTGCCTTCATTCCCTGTAAGCCTAGGAGTGGAGGTGGAGCTCTCGCCTCCCAATGAGGAGGCTGTGAGTTCAATCCTAGACAGCGGCAGATATTTCTCTCTCTGGGCCCAATGAGAAAATGTCTGCTGCGAACTCTGCATTGGCGACAGGAAGGACATCCAGCCAGTAAACACTCAGCTCCATGCAGTTGCCCAACTCCATCCTGATGCAAGTGATTGCGGGATCATTAAAAGACAATAATAATAATTCAAGATTCCAAAGTGCTTTGAAGTTAGGGCGAAGTTACACAGCCTAACTCCTCCTCCCAAGATTTAGATGGGGTCCTCCAAACATTCCAAGCAAATTGCTATTTTTCATGCCAAAGTGGAGGCGAGTAATAGAATCCCCCAAGAATGAATTCTATTCAAAAGATGCATTGAATTTAATATAATCTAAAATAAATCTGGTCTACTTTAAATGCACTGTCTGGCCCTGTCTCTTTGTTTCCTGATGCACAGCCACCATAGGCCACCCAGAGCTAAAGTGTAGACCTCATCCTGAAAAAAGGCCTTGATCCTATATTTTGAAAATGGGCAGTGGGGATGTCTTCCAGCTGATAATTAATTTTAAAGAAACTGATTATTATTTTTTGCATCGGGAAGTTCCCAGTAATCTCCAGTTAGAATCTCTTGTTATAAACAAATCTAGTCCACTTTACAGACTTGCCATGAGGATAAAATGGGCAGGATACGAAGAATGTTACCTCTATTATCTGGAACTCCTTGAAGAAAGACAAGGTGTAATTATTTTTTTTTATTTTTTTTTAAAGATCACGATTAAACCACAGCAGGAGTCATCAATCACTTTCAGGCTCTTCTTTAACAATGCACTGGGTTCATCACGATCCCTTCTGCTTTGCTTGTTCATTTGTTAGCTGCAGAAGACAAGCAAGTGAGCAGAACTAGCCCTGCTCCAAAAGCGTTTACTTTCCACCTTGATGGAATGTCTGGTTGAAAACAAGCATCCCGCAATGAGGCCGGGGGGGGGGGGAACCTATTGTAATTTCTTACTGTTCAAATCAAACAGCTTCTGTGGCAAGTCTGATCACATGAACTTTTTGAAAAGGCAAAGTAAGAATGTTCTGGAGAGGCAGCAAGCAGGAGCAGCAGCCACAATGCGGGCAACTTAGAGGTAGTCCAGACAAGAAGCTCCAATTCCTTCCGAGGACTCAGCTGCCTCTTATTTAACTGTTGCCCCATCTGTGGATCCTCCTCCTGTTTCTCAAAAACAGTCTCACAGATCATTACAGAGAGGTATACAGAGGTAGAGAGAGTTGTTTGAAAAAAAATAAATCAAATAACCATCTGAGTTGGGCTGGTGTACTGACCAAAAAGCCTTATTTCAGGAACAAGCCATCTTTCTAGGCCATGAGCACCACTGCATCATTTAGAGCAGTGTTTCCCAAAGTGTGGTACGCGTACCCCCAGGGGTACGGGAAGAGTTTGGTGGGGGTACGCATTGCACCGGAGTTTGGTGGGGATCACGTGGGAATATCCACTGCACCGTGCTTTGCTGCGCCCACAGAACCAAATTATGATGATCTGTCATCTCAACATAAACAATTTCATCCTTCTCATTGAATCAAATAAATGTTCTTTATAATATAACTTTCGTTTATTTTGCGTATGTACCAAAAAAAAGAAAAGATAAATATATTTTGATTTTTATTAAAGCATATGTTTTTTTATGAGGGGTACTCAGCATTACGAAAATTATAGAAGGGGTACACATATGTCAAAAATTTGGGAAACACTGCCCTAGATTGAGTTTCAATATTTATTCATTTGATATTTGTCGTCAGAATGCCCTGTATGTTCTTCCTCAGGTCTATTGATTTCTCCACTGCTTGTACTGTATATGACTTCAGTGTAGATTTATTATAAAAGCTTTTCTAACAAGGAACAAAATGTTTTGGCTTTTCTATTACTCATTAGCAATAGCAATAGCAGTTAGACTTATATACCGCTTCATAGGGCTTTCAGCCCTCTCTAAGCAGTTTACAGAGTC